CTGAGAGGGATGGCGCGGCGTCTGCGGAGCAGGGTGCACGCAAGCGGACCCGAGAGGGTGATGCTGCCCCCAAACCTGCCCCTAAGACAGGTGCAAAGACTAAGGCAGCTCCAAAGAAGAGGGGTAAGGCGTAGATCCTTTTTTCTGTGTTGCGGGTGAACCTGCAGCCTGTCGCTTTCTAAGGTAGAATGCGATTTCTAAGGTGGCAGTATGTTCTTTTATTTACCTGAGTTGTCACCGTATCTGGCCCTATAGTTGAGGGCTCGACCCAAGTCTCGACGCACTTATCATCTTGGACAGCTTGAAAATTGCCACCTGCCATCGGTGCATGCACACATAGTTGTGCAATTTGGGGTCTTTTAGCCGTACAAGCTGGACTAGCTTGAGTGGCAAGGATTTGATGGACGGGGAAAAGGACCGGATTGGGAAAGCTTTACGTGAACAAGCTTCACAAGTTTTGAACTGACACACCAATTGCTCTTATTTGCAAAAGCCCTCCGTAACCAGCCCAATTTTCACCAGGGAGGTCCAAGAACAATGCCAGGTGCACCTGCCGGCCGCACTCTCCAGGGCTTCGCTGGTGCCATTGGAGATGGGGTTGCGAAGCTAAAGTCTGAATGTGTCTCTCTGCCTCCTTGTTACACTGCATTTGGTCAAAACATTGTGCCATGAAAGGGATTAAACGGCCTGCTCCTATATAAGAAGTGGTTGGAGGAGGTTTGATTGAAATTCTGCACTAAAACACTTGACTGAAGATCTTGTTGGGATGTTTGGGTGCTGTGTGGCTTTCTTGTGGGATCTTAGGCTCCAAGCTGTGGATCGGTGATTGCGGCCCGCAACATTGTTGCGGACATTGGTGAAGTTGCTGCTTCTTCTTCGGGAGGTTTGTTGAGGTTCGCTGGCCTCAATGAATCCAATGCAGAGCGGGATGCCCACAGGTGTTTTGCTCAATTGGGCCTACGCTTGCCGATCCCCCTGACTCATATCAATCTTGAAAAGAATGATAGTGTGAAGGGGCTTCAATTGCAGGATTGGGCACGCTTTCTGTTGGACCGAAACTGCTGGCACATTCTATCTGGACTAATGAACCCAAACCCAGATCGTGAAAAAGCAATCTGGTGCTCATTCTGGGCAAGATACCGCGAGACAAACCCAAACCACGAAGTGTTCTCTCTGTTCGATCGAGGTATTTTGAAACCAGAGTGCACGGCAGCTATGACCTATCATGGAGACGAAGGCCGTGGCAGAAAGAAACAAGCATTTTTCGTCACATCCTTTAAGTCAGTGCTTGGAAGAGGGCTTCAGCCTGCCACTGGCGCTCAGAAAAGGGACCAGTTGCCAAAGCAATATTTGAAACAGCGTTGCAACTATGTCGGTCACGTTTATAGCACGCATTTTTTATCAGCAGTACTTCCGAAGCACTTGTACCGCAAGAATGATGAAGCCGTGCAGGACATTTTTGAGTTTGGGGCTGCTTCGGCTGACTACATGTCAAAGCATGGCGTGCAAGACACACGTACTGGAGAAAACTTTTGGATGGTTCTCATTGGTGTTACAGGAGACTGGCAGTTTTTGGCCAAATGCGGCTTGCTGAGCCGTACCTACTATAGTACGGAGAAGAATTTGAGAGGAAGGGCTCAGGCAGACCCCCGAGGGGTCTGTCATCTTTGCCTTGCAGGAAAGCGAGACTTTCCCATGGAGGAGTTGAGTTCGAGGAATCCACGTTGGCTGCAAACCTGCTTCCAAGAGAGTGGTTTCAAGACACAGCCGCCGTTTTCCCGTGTGCTTTGGAACCCAAGCCAAGCAGAAGCCTTATACCACTTTGATGTGTGGCATGGGTTTCATGTTGGAGTTGGCAAGACCTTCATTTCGTCTACGCTGGCGCTCATTTCTGACCTGTTCCCAGGAAGCAGCATCGACGTCCGTTTCGAAAACCTGTCTTCTGACTACCTTGCGTGGTGCAAGAGGGAGGGGCAAACAGCTTTCCTCAGCTACATCAGCAAAGATACAATTTTGTGGAAGAGTCGGAACGAGACACCTAGTGCCCTTTGGTCAAAGGGGGCTGCTACAACAGTGTTGATGAAATGGCTGGAAGCCTGGAATTCAACTGCTGATCTGTCTGGCGACGTTCTTTACGAGAAACAAGCGAAGGCGTGCCACTTGATCAACAGTTTTTTTTCAGCGCTGTACGAGGAGGATGTTTGGATAGCAGGTGAGACTGCGATGTATCTTGGAGATGCTGGGCTACAATTCCTGCGGATCTATGACCACCTGGCCAAAATTAGCTACAACCAGGGACGGTCTCTTTATCCGTTCATGCCCAAACATCATTTGCTCCATCACATTTTTTGCAAGACTTGTGGATCGCTGGAAAATCCCAGAGATGGGTGATTAACCCTTTGTGCTGGGGAACGCAGCAAGCAGAGGATTTTATCGGAAAAGCATCACGGACTTCACGACGTGTACACCCTTCAAAGGTTTGCGAGCGCACAATACTCCGTTATTTGACCAAGGCATTTGCAGAATGGCGGAAGCTTAAGTACATCATTTCTTGAGATAAAAAGATTGGAGTGTGTTTGCTGCTTTGGCAACTTCTTTGTGCGTTTGTCAAAACCCAGAAAAGCAAAACCTCGGGTTTCATGACAAACCTCGGGTTTCCCTCCAGAAGTTGAGGTATTCTTCAAACCCTGCTTTTTCTTAGGTTTTGGTTGGTCAAGGTAGTTTTCTCCACCCACGAGGGTGGAATGTTCTGCCGCAGGACATTCATCGGAACGTTTCGCGATGTTTTCCACGTGGACGCCCCGAGAACCGACCGAGAACGGTAGACCAACAGAGACCGGTGCACCATTCATGGGGAGGGCAATGACTCCAATCCCTACTGGTTCAATGACCTATTCTGTGGATCTGGGCCAGATGGGAACCAGAAAAGATAGGCACCCCAGATAGGTACATCACAGTGCCCTTCAAAAGAAACATACATCATATTTCTCTTTACCGGCTCAGGGGCCGCCCAACAGAACTGGTTCACGCAACCACAAGACACAAATTATCCCGGCAAGAGACCCCAAGCACAGTGTGTGTGAGTTCTATAAGCAGAAAGTCTAGAGTCTAGAGATCTAGACGCATCGGGGTCCAGAGTGGTGATGAAGGTGGGGATCGTGGTGACGGTGGCAGGGCGAGTGAGTGAGTTGAGAGTGAGAGTGAGTGTGACTGTGTGTGAGTGAGTGTGAGTGAGAGTGGGAGTGTGTGTGTGTGTGAGTGAGAGTGGAAGAGTGAGTGAGTCTGAGTGTGGGTGCGAGTGTGAGTGAGAGTGAGAGTGAGTGTGCGTGAGAGTGAGCGTGGGTGAGAGTGAGTGTGAGTGAGAGTGAAAGTGAGTGTGGGTGAGAGTGAAAGTGTGGGTGAGCGTGAGAGTGAGTGTTGAGTGAGAGTGACACAGTGGGAGAGTGGGTGAGAGGAGAGTGGGTGAGAGTGAGAATGGGAGTGAGTGTGGGTGAGAGTGAGAGTGAAGGTGGGAGTGAGTGTGGGTGAGAGTGAGAGTGAGTGTGAGGGAGAGTGAGAGTGGAGAGTGGGTGAGAGTGAGAGTGGGAGAGTGAGTGAGTGTGAGTGTGAGTGTGAGTGTGAGTGTGAGTGTGAGTGTGAGTGAGAGTGAGAGTGAGAGTGAGAGTGAGAGTGAGAGTGAGAGTGAGAGTGAGAGTGAGAGTGAG